TTTATATATATAAAACTGCATGGAAATGCCACTAGCCCTAGCTTTACATCTGAATATAAACATGCCTGGATTTGCCTAAAATGTTGAAGAAACTGGCACATTATGTCAGACCTCATTATTCCTTTATCTGGACACATTAATGAATCAATCAATTAACAGAATTACCCCCCCAAAGGGCTTTGGCACAGTAGCTGTCAGTTAGTTACTGTAGCTACCTACCCACAGCTATCCACTTATTGTACTAGCTGACCAAAAAAGCTATAGGTGTGGAAATGTATGCACTCACTAACTGTAAGTCGCACTGGATAAGAGCGTCTGCTAAATGACTAAAATGTTAAAAAAATTTATAAACGTTAGCTAGGTACGGTACTTTAGACCAACAAGGCTATGGCCTCCCCTTAACAATAAATATTGCAGTTAAGAGTGTAGGATAACTGCACTTATTCAGCAATTACTGCGTCCAAAATACCACAGTCGACTGCAGTTAGCTAGCTACTACACTTTTGCTGCAGTTTCAAAACTGCGATCTTTTTTGTAAGGTCTCAAAGCCATAATCAGAAACCATTCTGTTGGAGCTGTATTCGTCAGCCAAACTAGCCTATATCAAGTTACAACAGAATTGTTTGATCACATTTTACAACTACACCACCTCCAGCTGGATAGTTGACAAAACATCAAATCAATTTGTTTTGCATGCTCCAATCCTGGCTAATTAGCTAGCTAGGTAGTTATCTAATGATTCATTCACGATAACTCACCTGTAAAGCGGTGATTCCTGCCTCGGTAGTCTTTACATCAAAGGAGTTCGCTGGAGGGGCATCTCTTGGCAGAGCAGTAATTTTCCTACCATCCACGTCGATATTGTACTGGATGTGAGAGGAAGAATCAATTTCTGGTTCAATACAAGTGAACTGCTAATGCCAGCTATTTCAAGACCACTTCCGACACACAGGGCGTTTGGTCACATGATCTGAAAGATGGCGCATGTCAGCTGATCGAATGTTGGCTTCTTGATATTGTAGCTAGCTAGCTGTCTTGTTAAGCAAACTATCTATTTCGATAAAAACTAGCTAAATCAATTATCGTTAGTGTGAAATGATGCCGATTGTCTGGCGTGAAACATCACCACAGACATTGAATTGGCCAAGTTGATACAATCGTGCGCGCTGCGTGTTCGCCCATGGCGCAAACTGGGCTAGTCTTTTTTTTATTATTATTATCTGAAATAAATAAAATGCGAGGAAGAATCTATTGTTATTGTGACACCACCTGTGACTTTTTCGCGGTCTCTGTCATTGTTTCATATTTGGTTAAAAAAAAGAATTCCAAAACGTTCCAAACAGAATGCAAAAAAACTACTTCCGCATTCCGGTGTGACATGTTAAGGGATCTGGAGGAGTTACATGCAGCAATATAGTTATGGGAAAAAAACGACCCAAAATAATGTAATTGTAAAGTGTTCTGCAAGCTAAAATATTAGTCAGTACAATTGTGCTCTCATCCCACCAACTTTATACATATGAATGTTGCCTCAAATGCAAAGTTACCTTCACCAATATCTAGCAAAGTGTTGATGGTCCCTAACTTTGATGTAGCTAGCTAGAAAGCCGGGCAGCAACACATTCACTACCGAGTTAGTCGTGCAAGCTTTGAAAGAGGCGAAAGTCCATTTAGATTGCGCTCAACCACAACATGACGACAGTAAGTTATTGAATAAATTCGTACATTATTGTTACATAACTTAGTAGCTAGCAGGTGCTGAGATTGCAGTGCTTTGATACATATACAGCCTGAAACGAATGCCTGCAAAATCGTGTAAATGTTCCTTACAAGACAGAATGTTTAATACAATTATATTTAAACGTACTCTACCGGTTGTCTCTGCGGTTTGTCCATAAGACAAAATATGCACAGGAAAGCATAACTTGTTTACCTGAAACAGTATCTGTGTGTTAGAGCGCTAACGCCCAGAAAGCTCAGATTCAAACGCCCATTCACCAGCTCTGCAAGCGTAATACTGTCAAAATACGTTCGATAATCACCAAATATGGAGTTTCGCTGGATATATACTTCCAAAAAAGGTCTAAATAAAAATGTACACTAAACAAAAATAGAAAGCAACAATTTCAAGTTCATGTAAGGAAATCATTCAGTTGAAATAAATTCATTAAACCCTAATCTATGGATTTCACATGACTCGGCAGGGGCGCAGCCATGAGTGGGCCTGGGAGGGCATAGGCCCACCCACTTGGGAGCCAGGACCAGCCAAAGAGAATTAGTTTTTCCCCACAAAAGGGCTTTATTATAGACAGAAATACTCCTGGCGGTAGAATCAAGGAGAATTGGAATATTGTCCAAAATAATGGAAAGCGGAGCAAAGTAGTGTACAGTGCTGAGAATGTCCCTTCGTATCTTGTATGAGTACGGTTATTAAATGAGGAGCAGCTGATCGTATTACCAGTCTTGAGGAATCCAAACTGGTGGAGAGAGTGCTGGGTAGAGTGAAGGCTGTGAGGATCACGAGAGTCGGGCTGGTTTAGCTTTTTTTGTGCTTTCTGAGGATCAGAAGGAACGTGTGTTACGTCTCACCCGATTTGATACGTTTGATGTGTTGCGTGTCTCTCTTCGGAATCAGGGCACCCCTCAAGGGGGTAATATCTGGAGTCTCGTGGGAAGTCAATGTTGATTGATTGATGCACGTCGGATAAATAATATTTTTGTGCGTATGGAACATTTCTGGGATCTTTTATTTCAGCTGATGAAACATGGGACCAACACTTTACATGTTGTGTTTATATTTTTGTTCAGTGTACAAGCAACTGAAAAAAAATGCCTATTTGGCGCCTATTCAGCTGTTGTAGACTTCCGACCTGTGTGTGGCAGTAACGAGTGATTGGAGGTGCCGAATAGGCATTTTTTCGGTTGTTTGTAAATTTTTATTTAGACCTTTTTTAGAAGTACATACCGGCCTTAAGGGAGTAAATGAAGATAGTTGCTCAGTGAGAATCCATATTTGGTGATCAAAAGTATTTGAACATAACTCTTGCAGAGCTAGTGAATGGGAGTTTGAATCTGAGCTTACTGAGTCTCTAACACACAGATACTGGTTCAGGTAAACTATAAAAACACTGTTTTTGAATTGAATATTTTTTTTGAAGATTGAAATCCACTTGAAACAGATTTTTTATTAAAAGTTCACACAAAAGTGTGGAATGTTCTCTATCCTCCGGTTATTCAGAATATACTATTTATGTTGTCATGGCATGCTTGGTTCAATAGCTATTGATGAGAGAACCGAATATCCAATATAAAACTAATTTTACCTTGGTGCCTAACGAACCATATATATTTGGGTCGGCAGGTAGCTTAGTGGTTAGTGCCAGTAACCGAAAGGTCGCTGGTTCTAATCCCCGAGCTGACTAGGTGAAAAATCTGTCAATGTGCCCTTGAGCAAGGCACTTAACCCTAATTGCTCCTGTAAATCGCTCTGGATAAGAGCGTCTGCTAAATGACTCAAATGTAAAATGTAGAGTACCACAGTATGAGTCACAATACCCATAAAACCTAGCGGTCAAACAGGGAAATGGTTCCAATCATTTTTCCACCATTCATTTTTCCTATAGGGGATTTTAGAAACCTTAAAATAAGGGCTGTGTTTTGTGTAGGCTTACCCTGGTGTGATGTTTTGATAACCATGCAAATATCTTTATGTGCTTCTTCTTGAGCCACTCCTTTGTTGCCTTGGCCGTGTGTTTTAGGTCATTGTCATGCTGGAATACCCATCCACGACCCATTTTCAATGCCCTGGCTGAATGGAAGGAGGTTCTCACCCAAGATTTGACGGTACATGGCCCCGTCCATCGTCCCTTTGATGCAGTGAAGTTGTCCTGTCCCCTTAGCAGAAAAACACTCCCAAAGCATAATGTTTCCACCTCCATGTTTGACGGTGGGGATGGTGTTCTTGGGGTCATAGGCAGCATTCCTCCTCCTCCAAACACGGTGAGTTGAGTTGATGCCAAATAACTCGATTTTGGTCTCATCTGACCACAACACTTTCACCCAGTTCTCCTCTGAATCATTCAGATGTTCATTGGCAAACTTCAGACGGCCCTGTATATGTGCTTTCTTGAGCAGGGGGACCTTGCGGGCGCTGCAGGATTTCAGTCCTTCACGGCGTAGTGTGTTACCAATTGTTTTCTTGGTGACTATGGTCCCAGCTGCCTTGAGATCATTGACAAGATCCTCCCGTGTAGTTCTGGGCTGATTCCTCACCGTTCTCATGATCATTGCAACTCCACGAGGTGAGATCTTGCATGGAGCCCCAGGCTGAGGGAGATTGACAGTTCTTTTGTGTTTCTTCCATTTGCGAATAATCGCACCAACTGTTGTCACCTTCTCAACAAGCTGCTTGGCGATGGTCTTGTAGCCCATTCCAGCCTTGTGTAGGTCTACAATCTTGTCCCTGACATCCTTGGAGAGATCTTTGGTCTTGGCCATGGTGGAGAGTTTGGAATCTGATTGATTGATTGCTTCTGTGGACAGGTGTCTTTTATACAGGTAACAAGCTGAGATTAGGAGCACTCCCTTTAAGAGTGTTTGTCAGTGGGCAAACGTACAAAATCAGCAGGGGATCAAATACTTTTTTCCCTCACTGTAAACAATACTTTCCTGTGGATATTTTGTCTCGAATTTCAAGTGGCTGAAGAACAAATTAAAATGCACAGACAACCGATGTAGAGTAAGTTTTAAATTTAATTTTATTCAACATTCTGGCTTGTAAGGAACATTTACATGATTTTGCAGGCATTAGTTTCAGGCTGTATATGCAAATGGTGTATTACAGCCTGATGAATCAGACTAATACATAGCTAGCTAGCTTAGCTAGTCATTGCTTGCTAACTGGTTAGCTGTCCCATACTAGCATGAGAATGACACATGACCCCCTGGAATATGAATCAGTTTGTGAATTGTTCCCACAGAAGCACGAATTCTTTGTGGACATGACATGTGAGGGATGCTCTGGTGCTGTCACCCGAGTCCTCAATAAACTGGGTGAGTAGCTAAATTTCACAGCAGATCCAGCTTTCTGGAACATATGTTAAACAACACACACACACACACACACTTTGTTGAGAATGGTGTGCATTGGTTTAGCTACATTCAGCAATTATAGATTACTTCTGTCATATTGACTGGCTTGCCTGAAAAAAATATTTTCCTGTCTTATTTGTTGGCGTAAGGTGGTGTCCAATTTGAGATCGACCTCCCCAACAAGAAGGTTTTCATTGAGTCTGACAAGGATACGGATGTGCTTCTGGAAACACTGAAGAAGACTGGAAAGGCAGCCAACTACATTGGCCCCAAGTGAAGAATCATCCTCTTTCCTTTATAGAACAGGTGAACTCTCTCTCTCTCTCTCTAAATATATATTAAGTGACAATCAATTAAATATCGACCAAACTTCCATCCATCCCTACTTTTCTCTTCTCCCCATTGCAACCTGTTTTAGCCTAATTGTGTTCTTGTTTCTGTGTGTTCGCTGTTGGTTGGTTGATATGAAGGATGACCAATGAGAAGAAAGAACCTCGCTGGCATGTCTTCATGGACCTCTGGAATGAGCTCGCTCTGCCAAATTGTCCACTTTCAGTTATTTAAACATAATTATTGATGCGTCCCAAATGTCACCATAAGGGTCCAGTTCCAACGTAGGGCACTATAGGTAAGGGAAAGGGGGGACAACTGAATGCATTCTTCCGCAATGTGTCTTCCGCATTAAACCCAAACCCCGCTGAATCAGAGAGGTGCGGAGGGCTGCCTTAATCGACATCCACGTCATCGTCGCCTGGGGAACAGTGGGGTGAACTGCCTTGCTCAGGGGCAGAACGACAGATTGTTTACCTCATATAGGGAACAGAGTGCCGTTTGGGACACACCCACTATGAATATCCCGTATGATTGATGCGCATAATTAAATATAGCATGTACCTCTATGGGTTAATGTTAGTCCTACTGCAGGTAAGTTAAAATCATGTAAGATCGCTGTGTCTGTTTCGTCTTAATAAAAGCAATTATTGTTATTCACCTTGATTTGGGACAGTTGGGGGGGAAACGGCAATCATCCTGTATTACGTTTTCCTGTCACTGTCTAGATATAATTCATGTATACCCACATGTCAAATAAAAAAAGGTGATTCTAGGCACCTGTCCTCTTATTTTTTTATTTTGATACATAGGACGGCCTTCCGTAGAAGGTTTGACTAAAGAGCTGTTTGTTATCCCTTGAAAATATTGCTAATTTGTAAATGCAATAAAAAAAAAGGGGGCAGCATACAAGTTTTAGAACTTCCTATAATATTTTCGATGAGTCACATATCCACTTAAACATTATTTTAGTGTGGAGATGTCTTGCCAGATATTATGATGTTACATGTTGAAACTGCCACTTGGTGGTAGTGTTTGTTTTTGGTTTAATTTGACAGGAGGATCTGTCCCTTTCAGCAATTCCATGGAATTAGACTTCAGTGTCTTGCACAATGACGTGTACCTTCAGCCATGCAAATGCAAACATCAACAGTTTTCATCAAAGATAAATAATTGAGCTGCAATTAGTAGATTGGGGTTTGTAAATTATATTATAGCTTTTTCATGTACAAATTCTGAAGGGGCGAGAGCTATGTGTAGTTTATTAGAAAACAAAATAATGAAATGTGCATTTTAAAGAAGACATGGTATGGGACACGGTATATACTGTCTCTGAGACAGTGTGACAGGCTAACCTTCCCCTAGCCCTGTGTAAGTTGGTACAAACCGAATGGGACCTTCCACAGGTCCCAGGATGACGGACACTACCAATGCATAAAAGAGGGTGGCACAGCAGATGTAGAAAGACCACCCAAGATATCTGAACATCAGTGGTGACTGCTCTTCGACGGGCACCAGGAAGACGATTACAGGACTGGCACACAGGACCACTGGCAGGGATAAAACAAAAAACGATGAAAACCGGAACCATCTTTGGTAATACATTGACAGAGAGAAAATACAATGCAGAATGATTCTTTTAAAACATGAAGGTTAAAAACCTTCAAGGAACAAATACATCTGGTGAATAAAAGCTGATCTTCAATCCCGATCACACAGAAATTCCCACCAAGCATGTATTGCAGCCTACAGAAATCAGCATGCTCATAAACTACCAAGTATTTTCGGACTTCCTGTGCAATATGTAACCTGGAATACAAACTGATGCTCCATTTAACCATACGGAACATATCTGTTTGGATTCATATCAGTCTGGATTCCACGCGCTGTCATATGCTCTAATGCAGTGACACATCCTTTAATGTCCACAGCAGCTACTTGAGACGTATTTTATAGGCTACCTGAGACAATATTGAGGAGTAGTGCAGCGATGGCTCTCCTACCACTGTTGAGAGCTGGTCTGATAGTGAAGAGAGCAGCGAAGGAGAGAGCACTGGAGCCAGAGAGGAAGATCCAAGACAAACTATATGTACCTGATAATGAATCAAAATAGGTACTCGTATGTATCTGACATTCATGCCATCATCTTAGCCTATGTTGTCATTTGTACACACAGTAGTAGGCAGTCAGTCAGCCATTTTAGGTTGTTGGGTTATTTAGAGAGAAACATCCACCATTTTAAAAAGAGACTAGGCCTGAAGTTTTAATATACTGTAATTGTAGTTATATACTGTAATTGAGGTCATATACTTTAATTGTAGTGCTACATTGAGCTGTTGTTGTTCTCTAGGATGAAACAGGTGTGTACATCAATGTAGTAAAGTTGAATGAATAGCCCACATTTATGACATCTTCTGAGTGGGAGACTGCTGCCTGATGTAACAAAGCTTTGAGTTTGATGACAGTGTATCACACTGCTACCAACATACTGTCACACTGGCCCAATTGTTGTGTTGTACAGTGGTTTGGAATAGCACTGGATGCGTCCCAAATAGCACCCTATTCCCCATCTAGTGTAGTGCCCTATGGGCCCTGGTCAAAAGTAGTGCACTATAATGGGAATATGGTGCCATTAGGGATGTAGCCCTTCTGCAAAAGGACATAATGTAACAGCAGTTTTGCTCAGCCGTCCATCCTGGAAACGTGGTGCAACTCAGAACTGGTTGTGTCCAATGACAGCCTTGGATCTTTGTGTTCCTGCTTTCTGAATGTGATGTGTATTCTGTTCTATCAATGATATCATGTGTATTCTGTTCTATCAATGTTATCATGTGTATTATGTTATATCAATGTTATCATGTGTATTATGTTATATCAATGATATCATGTGTATTCTGTTTTATCAATGATATCATGTGTATTCTGTTATATCAATGATATCATGTGTATTCTGTTTTATCAATGATATCATGTGTATTCTGTTTTATCAATGATATCATGTGTATTCTGTTCTATCAATGATATCATGTGTATTCTGTTATATCAATGATATCATGTGTATTCTGTTATATCAATGATATCATGTGTATCGCAGCCGGCCGCGACCGGGAGACTCATGGGCGGCGCACAATTGGCCCAGCGTCGTCCAGGGTAGGGGAGGGAATGGCCGGCAGGGATGTAGCTCAGTTGATAGAGCATGGCGTTTGCAACGCCAGGGTTGTGGGTTCGTTTCCCACGGGGGGCCAGTATAAAAAATATATATATATGTATTCACTAACTGTAAGTCGCTCTGGATAAGAGCGTCTGCTAAATGACTAAAATGTAAATGTATTTAATGAGCTATGATTGAATAAAAGGCTGTTCAATAAAGTGTCTCAACAGCTTGGAGAGGAAATCCTAGGGAGGGACAGTAAATCCACTGTGAACCAGGGCAACCCTCCTCTCACTAACCTGTCTGACCAGCTAGGCATCCTCCTCTCACTACCCTGTCTGACCAGCTAGGCATCCTCCTCTCACTAACCTGTCTGACCAGCTAGGCATCCTCCTGCGGGGAGGGAAATGGAATGCATTGGAGACAGATATTAAAGCCACAATCTATAATTCATTTATCAACCAAACAGCAGCTTTGCCTCTTTAAATACCATTTTATAGTATGATTGAAGGTGCACAAAATGAAGTAAATTAATACTTAGTAATACTTTTTAAACAACATAAATCCAGTCCCAGCTGCAGGATACTGTGAGGCCTGTCTTTTTAAACAAATACCATGAATCAAAGAGCATTTTTTGTGTGGAGCTGCAGCAATGTTGGACATCACAACAGCTCTGGCTTGTTTTGGCGTGCTCACAGCAGTGATTTTCTATGTATTCCCAAGTTGAATGTCTCCACTGGGCAGGGAGGGATGATAGTCCTGCTGATAGCATGGAGCAGGGAGACTGATCACAGATCAGTGGTTTGTTTTGACTTCCTCCTTCTCTACAATCAGGGCTCCATATAAAAACGCCAGCTCTCTCATCTGCAGACATGAATAGACACAGAGAAATTTAGAGAGACGGAGACATTCATAGACATTTACGTCATTTAGCAGACGCTCTTATCCAGAGCGACTTACAGGAGCAATTAGGGTTAAGTGCCTTGCTCAAGGGCACATCGACAGATTTTTCACCTAGTCGGCTCAGGGATTAGAACCAGCGACCTTTCGGTTACTGGCACAACGCTCTTAACCACTAAGCTACCTGCCGCCACATTTAGAGAGACAGAGATATTTAAAGAGACAGAGACATTTACAGACACAGAGACATTTACAGACACAGAGACATTTACAGAGACAGACACATTTAGAGACATATAGACATTTAGAGAGACAGAGACATTTAGAGACAGAGACCCGTGTAGCTCAGTTGGTAGAGCATGGCGCTTGCAACGCCAGGGTTGTGGGTTCGATTCCCACGGGGGGGCCAGTATAAAAAATTAAAACATGTATGCACTCACTAACTGTAAGTCGCTCTGGATAAGAGCGTCTGCTAAATGACTAAAATGTAAATGTAGAGACATTAGATTCAATTACATTTTGAAGGAAATTATGAAAATACATTTTTTGGTGTCTAAACTCTGACTTTACACAGCCAACAATGGAATGCAATGGAGCCGGATATTAAAGCCAGAATCTATAATTAGTTTATCAACCAAACAGCAGCTTTGCCTCTTTAAATACCATTTCATAGTATGATTGAAGGTGCACAAAATGAAGTAAATGAATACTTAGTAATACTTTTTAAACAACATAAATCCAGTCCCAGCTGCAGCTGATGAATACTGTGAGGCCTGTCTTTTTAAACAAATACCAAGAATCAAAGAGCATTTTTTGTGTGGAGCTGCAGCAATGTTGGACATCACAACAGCTCTGGCTTGTTTTGGCGTGCTCACAGCAGTGATTTTCTTTGTATT